CAGGAGGGGAAGCACGGTGTCCAGGGCGCGGCCACGCTCTTCTACATGGTGCACTGCGGGAAGGCCCTGTACAACAACCTGCTGTGGAGCAACTGGAGCCCCGCGGCGCTCTCCAAGCTGGTCATCATCGGGAACAGCTTCCGAGGAATCGAGGAGAGGTCTGGGCACACCCTGGGCAGGCTCTAGTGCCTCCCACCCTGCTTTCCTCTTTTCTGTCCCACTGCTTTATTGTTTCCTACAGCAATTTCCCTGTTTAGCACATTTTTGTTGCCATAAAGTTTTCAGTCGTGTGCCCTCTTCCCCCCCCTTCTCTGTCCCACCCCCATGCAGAAAAGCTGTCCAAATCCACAGGAACATCTTCTCTTATTGCAGATTGCTGTCCAGAATCTTGGAGAGAGATTATTCTTACATAGCAAAGGTATGAGGCAGTTTAACACTATCGTTTCATGTTGACAACACATCTTTTAATGAGAAAGGAAATTAATTGCCACTGAAAAGAAGAAGGGGGGTATTTTTAAAACATTTTTCCTAGGCACTATAATATAAAAGCTAATCACTTTAGGATTGTTGAACATCTGCAGAACATCCTGCACACAGGGGCTAAGGGTAATGTAACACCATTCTCATCCTCACTGGCTCAGCTTTGCAGGAGGGGGCTTCTGCATTGTAAATTTTTCTCCAAATGATCTTTTAGGTCTTGAAAGGAGTGGAGGAAGTGGCACTCCCCAGTCACCCCCGCTACCTGGACACTTTCAATGACACCTCTGTGCACTGGTTTCCCCTGGATAAACTGCAGGAGCTCTCCTCTGAGGTCTGGGATTTCGTGGAGGAGCCGATGTACCAAGATTGTGAGGACCTGGAGATCATCAGGAAGGGGGAGGGAGCTACTGCCAAGGCCTGACCATCCCTGTGGTGGCAGGGCTGGGATCCACAACTCTTCCCATGGAAGCTTCTGGGCAGCTGAGATGGAGCTCATGTAGCATCAGGCTTTGTCAAAAGTGGCAGCACCTGATTGCTGAGGTGATGGGACATTTTTGTATGTTATTTAATAAAAAGTAAAGCTTAGCTTTGACTTACACTTGCTGAACTACAGCAAACTAATTCCACCAAAACGTGCCTTGAGAACCATTCGCACTGCAGTGACTGCTCTTTGATTCCCTCCACTTCCACACCAATTCAAGGCCTTTGCATGTCCTACACACCTTTCAAAGCACCAGGAAGGGGAAATTATCTGAGCGGTTTGTAGTGGGAGGTGTTGGGGTCTGGTTCCCAGTGCAGGCTTGGAAAAAGCTCCCAGCTCTGATTGCTGCTGAAATCAGCTCTTCATCAGTCCTGAGAACACCCAGGTCAGCTCCCTCCAGGAAAAGAAGCGTTAGGATTCCTTCCCTCACCTCTGTGCTCTTAACCACTGCAGTCCCACAGAGAGAGCTGGACAGGTCCTGGCTGTGTGCAGCAAAGAGGAGCCCACTGTGTGAGGGATGTTGTGGGGACAGTAACTCACTGCCAGCACAGCACACAGCACAAGCTGTGACATCTGTCACTAGAGACTCACGGGACTCAGCTGGGCCAGCCCTCACTCTGCTCTTGGAGCAGAGAATGTGATCCCTCCTAACCTGCTGGTAAACCTCTGTCCCAGGTGGCAATCACAAGTGTCAGCACTGCTTATTCTCCCTTAGCCTGGGTTCCCATGTCGGGAAGTCTGGCTCTCCATCCTCTTGCCACTGCCTGAACAGTTCTTCCAATAAAAACCATGCTGGCATCCAGCTCCTGTCACTATTTACAAACCTGGAACTTACTTATTCTAAGGGTTACCTGGAGGCTGTTCCTGGGTGGTGACAGAGTCCCCAGCGGGGCCTCACTTGGCCATGTCAATGAGGCTCTGCAGTGAGGTGGGCACCCAGGTGATCTCCCCTGGCACAGAGACCTCACTTGGCCATGTCAGTGAGGCTCTGCAGCGAGGTGGGCACCCAGGTGATCTCCCCTGGCACAGAGGCCTCACTTGGCCATGTCGATGAGGCTCTGCAGCGAGGTGGGCACCCAGGTGATCTCCCCTGGCACAGAGACCTCACTTGGCCATGTCAATGAGGCTCTGCAGTGAGGTGGGCACCCAGGTGGTCTCTGCTGGCACAGAGACCTCACTTGGCCATGTCAATGAGGCTCTGCAGCGAGGTGGGCACCCAGGTCTTCTCCCCTTGCACGAACACCACGCCCCTGTCGATGTAGATGACAATCCTGCCGAAGGTGTAGAGCTGCTTGCCCTCGTGCCGCTTCCCGATGACGGGCATGAAGACGATGTTGTGCTCCTCGGCCTTGGTCTGGATGAGGTCCTTGAAGTTCATGGGCACGGAGCCGGCGGCGGCGCCGATGCCGCGCTGGGCCATGTTCTCGGCCTCGCGCCGCTCCTGCATGGCCTCGTACTGGAAGTCCTTGCGGCGCTCCGTGTGCGTCAGGTACGCGATGTTCTCCCGGGCGCCCGGCTGCATGTACCCACCTGGGGGAGAGAATGGGGAGAACATGGTCCTCAGATGTTCCCAGAGGGAAGCAGCTCCATCTGGGAAGTCAAACAAGACATTAGGAGTGTGGTGTTCAAGTTGGGGCCCAGAAGGGGAGTTCTCAGTTTTGGAAAGAGGGCAAATTTCAGGTGCTACTTCCTTTTCTTTTATACAATGTAACTTCCAGTGAATTCCCAACAATCACTTTTAGGCCTTAGGGAGATTCATTTGAAAGGGAACTGCTGTAAAGATAAGGAAAAAAACCTGTATCTCACCATAAAGAAAAAAATACCCAATAATGACAGCTTTAGAAGTCAAGCCCTAAAGGATGATGTCAGACCAGGCTGGTCTGAAGGCTGGAAGAGGATGGCCCAGCAAGCCACCAAAAATCTGTTTCTGCTTCAGTGCAGTCCAGAACTACTGAGCAGCACCTCAGAGGTGTTCTTTCAGGACACAGCAAGGCAGAGCCCACTGAGTTTCACTGCTCATGGGAGCTGCTGCCGTGCTGCCAGCAGGGCCATGCTCCAATCAGCCCCCCAAGAGCAACACTGACTGTGCTGGCAGCCCAGAGCAGCACAGCCACCCCCACGAGCCACCTACCCACACTGGAGGACACAGCCCGGTTCATGATGTCAAGGGCTTCATTGAACTTGTCTTTGATGGAGGGATGTGCCAGCACCTGGTCTGAGAACATGGACTTCCAGCCCAGGTACCACTTGGTGATCTCTTCGTAGTTGGGGCTGTTGCTGAGCCAAGAGCAGAGCACCTGCAGAGCAAGGGACGGGTCAAAGGCAGCACAGGGATATTTGTGCAGGAGAGGCCTCTCTGCTACAGAATCCCAGAGTCATTAAACATGGAAAAGATTCCAAGAGTATTGAGTCCAATGTGTGGCAAATCAGCCCCTTATCAACCAGCCCAGAGCACTGAGTGCCACAGCCAGGCCTTCCTTGGACACCTCCAAGGATGGGGACTCCATCACCTCCCTGGGCAGCCCCTTCCAGTGCCTGATCACCCTTTCCATGAGGAAATTCCTCCTGATGTCCTACCTGAATCTCTCCTGGCATAATTTACCACTTGGTTTATTACTGAGTGTCAGTGAAAGGAGGAACTATTCCAATGACTACTGAGCTGTGAGTGGGAACCAGCCCAGTTCAGCACCAGCACTGCAATTCCTGGGCAGGAATCACTAAAACACTTCCCAGACAAATTGGGGTTCCTAAATTCCTAAAATTCCAGTTTAGGAATCACTAAACTCCTTCCTCAGTCCTCAGTGTCTCACCTGCAGCCACTTTGGGAAGAAGTGTTTCTCCAGCAGTCCAACGAGGCTGGAGACAGAAATCATCCCCTCCCAGTCGATCACCCAGTAAAAGGCATCCATGTGCTGCTGGTGCGGGTTGATGATGAGCTCATTCAGACACATCCCTGGGAAAGGAGAGGACAGTTAGAAAAGGGCCTCACTCAGTGCCCTGACCTCTTTCACTACCTTCACTACCAATACAAGAACTTGAGCAGCACCTTTTTGTTTTCCTAAGGGACAGCAAGGATCTTTGGCTGATCCTGCCATAAAATGGTGCATTTCCACTTCCAGTGATTACAAATTGCTGCCAGAACTGACAAACTGAAAACACTCAACTATTTTTTAACATTTTAGCCAGTCTGCATTACAAAACTCAAGGTGAAACATCAGAACAGACCAATTCAGGAGTAACAGACACCTCACAGCTTGGTCCTATCTGACACCTCTCAGATATTCCTACCAGCTGGAGATGGATGATGTATAAAAAATAAGACAGAAAATCTAGAGAATAACCAGAGTAATTCCTCATATTTCTCTAATCTTTCTGCCTCTGCACAGGACTGGTAGCAGAAAATCAAAGGCAAGCTTGGTCTAACCTCACTAACAACAATCTCTGATGTAACACTGGCACCCACATTAGCAAGGATCTTTCCTTGGTGTCAGGGGGGAGATGCCACCAGCAGATTCCCAAAATCCAGCACTGTCTATTGTCTCACCGAGTTTAGGCACGATGTTCTTGACCATGAAAGCCTCCCAGGAGCCGGGAGTGAACACATCCTTCCAGGGCTGAAGGATGAGCTTGGCAGAGGAGTCGCTGGGGTGCCACTTCTGCAGGGCGTTGGCCAGCTTGTTGCGGATGGGCGAGTACAGCGGCTCCAGCCGCGCCTGCATCAGCGGCAGCCAGGGGTGGATCCACGAGTGGATCGGCACCGTGTCCGTCAGTGGATTCCAGCTCTCCACCTTGGGGCACGACAGGAAAGATTAACTGAGTCCAGCCACCAGCAGCAAGTGTTTTTTTTAAGCATAAAGAGCTGTGGTGCAAGCCCCGACGCCTCAATCCATCGTCAGAGGCTGCACACTGGTGTTTGGGAGTTCCAGTTGGAATTCAAACACTGCTTCAGAGCTTTGCTCTCCCCAACCCTCTCCTCTCACCTCCTTCTGCAGCTTGGGAAAGATGAGCTGATCCAGAATGTTATCCAGTATCCACACAGGAACAACATTCACCCAGCTATCCAAGAAATCTACCATGGATCCACAGTTCCTTGGCTGCCACCGTGCCACGATGTTTCTGACATACGGCATCCAGATCTCCCACATCAGTCTGGGAAGAAACCCCAAACAAATCAAAGTGAAGCTCAAAGCTACAACCTGGGCCTAAACAAACCAAATGGGAGCTGCTAGTTAAAGCTGCTTCCTTTCTGTAGCTGCAAACTGATTTTAACAGGCCCAGCAAGGGAATCCTTGGGAAAAGCTCCCTTGTGTCTCCCTCTTTTCCATCCCTGAGGAAGCAGCACTGGAAGATGCTGCACAAAGTAAAAATCATTTGTTCTTTACCTGTGAAAAGCATCTGTTGACAGGTCCTGCCCACTGTGGGATAACAGCTGATCGTTTTCCAGAAGGCTCTTCCACTTGGCTATGATCTCTGTGCCATATGTACAGTCCTGGGAATGATAAAGCACAAATGGTCTGTATGCTTCTCCATTAATTCCAGCTGGGATCTGCACAGAGCAGGCTGATGGTGTGCTGAGCACAGCCAGCCTTCTCAACTCCTCTTAGGGCAAGCCAGAAGCTTGCAGGCTTAATTCTAGAATCCTAAAATTATTCAAGTTGGAAAGGAACTCCCAGACCACTGAGCCCAACCTGTGACCTCTCCCCACCTTGTCACCAGCCCAGAGCCCCAAGTGCCATATCTGTCATTTCTTAAATGACTTTTAGTAAAGTCCTACCAGAGGAAAATCCCACCCTACAGTATTAATACACCTCCAGGGAGAGAACAGTCTGAACTTTCCCAGGTGTACAGAGATCCAGACTCAATCCCAGCCTAAATGGCACTGAGAACAGACTGTGCATCTCTGATACCTGACAGAAAAATCTCTCCTGCTTTTGCTAAAAAACAACAGCTAGAGATTTGTTTTTCACCAAATTTTTCATCCCAACACTCATAAAAGGGATTGGTTTTAACCTTACAAATTCCCAAATTTCACCCAGCAAATGTCTGAGAATGGGGACAGTAAAGGATTTCACTTTGTCTCTTTTTCTCCAGACTGATCAGGAATTTAGAATCCCAGAATCACAGACTGGTTTGGATTTGAAGGGACCTTAAAGCTCATCTCATTCCACCATGGGCAGGGACACCTCCCACTAGACCAGGACACTCGAGACAAGGTAACAAAGATTACTGGAGCCATCAAGTGAGGACTGCAGGTAACTCAAACCAACACACACCTTGAGGGGATCCCAATTCTTGAAGTATTCCTTCATGAGGGGATAAACTATGGCCACTGCCAGGTCCACCCTGTCCGACATCCTGTACTCCTCGTAGTACTTGTCCTGCAGGGTCTCAAAGATCTTTGCACACTCATCCAGGGTCAGGGGGTTCTCACAGCCTGGCTGCATCCGCCTCTCACACTCCTCCACCATGTCCAGCACCTTGCTGAGGTTGCTGATGGCCTTCTCCTCGTGGGACAGCACCTCAGCCATCTTCTGGATCTCGTGGCTCAGGTTGACCACCATGTCCCTCTCGTACTGCAGCTGCCGGTCGCTCTGGATGATCTCCTGCTCCGTGATGTCGATGAGCAGCTGCAGGTTGTGCTCCAGCTCGGGCAGGGCAAAGCCCTGGGGCTTGGAGTCCTTGCCCAGGGGCTGCTGGGGGCTGTCATCTGGGATGTTGTGCTTGTGGCTGATCTGGCTGTAGCTGTAATAAACCTTCTGCTCCCGGCCCGTCATGTCAATCACCTGCCAGCACACAGAACAAATTCTCTTACAAAAAAAACCCTCATTCTCAAAGAAGGAGAAAATCCCTGACTCCAACCTGGAATCTGGAGATTTCCAAGGACCTTAATTACCCCAGGAGGCTGGTAATGTACACTGTGTCTGAACGAGGGGATTGCCTCCACAATGTCCTTCTCCAGACACAAGGAGTTAGAATGAGTAAGAGACAATCTGGAAACAGAGAGAAATCTCCTCATCTCATCCCAGTTTCACTGAATGATTCTACAAGCAGTGATCTTGCCATTAGTTACACTATGAGTTATTGCACTTAGAACTTCTATTAATTTTACAGAGACACTTTAATTTCAGATCCATAATTTGAGTGCACACCAGACAAATCCCTTACTGTCCCTTTGAGGTAGCAGATGGTTCAAACAATCCCAAAAAGGACAACTGTGCTTTCAGAAGTAAATGAGTGTTAATTATGACAAACGTGAAACAATTAAGCTTAAATTACAATTAACCCCCTACACACACTCACATTTAATCTGTCACCACATCCAGGTGACACAGAGCTATTACATGGCTCAGGGATGAATTCCATGAGGCTGCACAGGCAGTTCCTAGGACTGGCTATACTGAGGTTACTGGTGGCTGAAAGGTGCTGGTGACACCAAAAAGCCCGAACTGTTCCTCAGGGGTCACCTCTTGGCTTATCAACCTCACCTTGACCTGGGACAGCTCCTTCTGAGGGGCTGCAAGCTGCTTGCTGATCCTGCCCTTGGCTTTCAGCTCTTCCACTGTCTTGTAGCTGTACTTGGGCTTTTTCTTGCCTCCATTCGGGTCCTTCCGCCACTGGCTGAGCTCCTTCTGAAATTCCTGGAGAAAAACAGCAGAGTTGTGGTGGCTGCTCTTTGTCACCCCCAAATCTGCCCCTTTCTACATGAAAATAACCACCAGATCAATGAGGAATTTGTACAGGAAATAACTGGCAAGTGGAAAAGCTGATGCCAAACCAGCTCAGATGCTGTGGGCCAGTCACCCACCCTATGGATTAATGAACAGGATGTTCCTGATCTTTTTTTTTATTTAAACAAAAGACAAAGACTATTTATGTGGGGGACTCTTCAAAGGAGGGATTCTAGCAAAGCTACTGAAACAAGAGTGAGCCAGAAAAGAACATTATAGTCACAAGAAAGATGTGACTAAACGAAATCTATGTGCTCTGTGTTTGGCTTCTTTTCTAAAATGAGTCCAAACAGTTTTCTCTGACACAGAAATTAAGAAAACTGAATTTTGTACACACAGCACAGCAGGGAAACAGCAAGAACTCCAGAAATACCTCCTCAGTTTCCTCTTCTGAGTCCACCACAGGGAAGTCCTGCAAGGACTGCGGGGTCCTCTCAGAGCCGTAAGCACCCACAGCACCTTTGCCTTTCCTCTGCTTGGCCTCGATGGGATTGATGATTCCTGGCAGGATGGGAATGGGGTCAGGAGGAGCAGTTTGTGTGCTGGGAGAGAGCAGAACAGCCAGGCTTTCCCTGCAACTTACCAGATCAGCACCAACACCCTCCCTGGCACTGCCTCCAGCACCGTGGTACTTCCAGCATCACCAATTCCCTATAAAATCACTTCGCCCCAGCACACACCAAACTGCCAAAGCACAGCCTTATTCCCAACCACACTTCACTCCCTTTTTATTCTGCCACATAAAACAGCATCTCCTTTTTCGTGGGATGATCGCCTTTGGAATTTACTGCCTTTTTTTCTTGCTATTCTTCTCTTGTAAAATACAGGGTAGAAAATGACCACAGGTCAGTTTGAACACCCCTGAGTCTCACCACAGGGCCCGGATCACTGGCAGGAAAACAAGAAAGAAGTTGAAGCCACCTGGGACTGGCAGTTCTTTAAGGAATCCAACCTCTCCTCCAAATCCCCAGTTAATAATAAACCACCAAACACACTGACAGTACCTTGAGCATTCTTCCCCAGACCCCTTCCAGGGACATATCCCATCTTCTGCAGAAGCTTCTGTCCAATTCCTTTAGTGTGTCTCTCCCAGCTGCCAAAATCCACAAAGGACTTGGAGCCCCCTACAAAGCCTTTCTGGCTGGGCTTGAAATTTCCACCCTGTCAAAAACAAACACTCAAAAACCTGCAGCCCTGAGGCTTCAAATAACCAATAATCCCTCAGAAGGTTCTTCCCAGAAGAAATCCTGCAGTCCCCACACTGCCCAACTCACTGGAACCTTGTTTGTGCATCAATGAAGCACCTATGGAGATTCCTGAAATTCCTCAAATGGGAAATGAAAGTCCTGAAAAACTCTGGCTGACAACCTGACAGTTCTCAGGTTCCACAACCAGATTTAGCTGAAGCTGATTCTTTCTGGTTTTAACTAAAAATAAAGATTTGAGTTTTAATTTATAACATGCCTGGATTTGTCCACTCTGTGAAAGTAGAAAACTGAAGTCTCTGAAAGGCAGGAAAATCACAGGAATTCTCTTCTTTAAACCTCCTCTGACCAAAACTGGAATATTGAGAAAAACCAAAGGACTGATGCCCAAAGACACACAACCATTATATCAATGTACAGTTGTACCAATGATTTACTATTCTGATTTTTGTCTTATCAATGTATTTTTATCAAAGCAAACACTTCCCTTAATGACACATTTGGGTCTCTGGTTTAATTATTTCTCCTTTTTTTAGAGCTCTATTACAATTTTGCTGCCCTCGACCACATCCTGAGTTTCATAAATATAAAACAGAGAACAGTAAACTTCCTGGAGAACTCACTGTTTTTAACTTCTTGGGCACAAACTCCTTGGGAATCTCCTCCTGCTTCACAGGCTTCTCATCATCATCCGAGTCCTCATCCGAGAGCTCCTCAGCTGCCGCCTTCCTCAGCCCAGCACTGACAAAGCTCACGGGGGCCGAGTAATCCCTGGAGCTGCAAAACGAGAGGGAATTCTGCTCCAGGACACATTTCTACAGGAGCATCGCAGCTGCTGTGCCTTCCACCCCGCAAAAATGGGATATCAAAGGAGCTGTTTAACCCTGCTTTTGCCAGGCAATCCCCATCCTCTCCCCGCGCTGCAGGGAGCGAGCACAGCCAAAATCTCTACAGCTGAGGGGGTCCCGAGGGCAGCAGGATGGGCTGTTTGGGTGGGTGTTCACAGCCGGGAAAGGCCCAGGGAACGGGGGGAAGCTGCAGGGAACCGGGGGAAGCTCCGAGGCCGGGGCAGCTCCTGGGGTCCCAGCCCGACCCTACCGCTTCCCGCCGAAGCTGGGCCGCTCCTCGTCCGAGTCGCGCTCGGCCCACACGCCGTAGGTCGCCTCCTCCTTGGTCTGGCGGTGCCGCTGCCGGTGCGGGTTGAATTCGTTCTGCAGGTCCCAGTCCGACACCTCGAAGCTCTCCATCTCCACGCCATCGTCTCCGTCCGTGCCGTACAGGTGCGACATCGACATCGCGGCAACACCGGGATTCCCCGGCCCGCTCAGGGGCCGCCGGTCCGCTCACGAACTCCCGACCCGGGACCGCCCGCTCGCTCAGGGATGCCGGGACCGGCCCCGGCCGCGCCGCCAAACCGGAAG